CCAGAAGGGTTTGGGAGAGACCTTGTTTCCCCTAGCGCCCCCTGGCATAACAAGGAATAACGGCCACAAGTTGTTGGAGAGTAGGTTTAGATTAGACATCCGTAAGAACTACTTCACAGTTAGGGCGGCTAGGATCTGGAACCAACTTCCAAGGGAAGTGGTGCTGGCTCCTACCCTGGGGGTCTTTAAGAGGAGGCTTGATGCCTACCTACCTGGGATCATTTGAGCCCAGTTTTTTCTCCTGCCCAGGCAGGGAGTCAGACTTGAAGATCTATAAGGTCCCTTCCGACCCTACTTCTATGATTCTATGATTCTACAGTCAGATGGGTGGCAAATTGGCTAGATGGTCGCACCCAGAGAGTAGTGGTGGATGGGTCGTTTTCGACCTGGAGGGATGTGGCAGTGCAGTTCCCCAGGGCTTGATCCTTGGGCCTGTGCTATTCAATGTCTTTATCAGCGACTTGGAGGTGGGCGTGGAAAGCACGCTGTCCAAATTCGCTGGTGACAAAGATGTGGGGAAGAAGTGGGCACACTGGAGGGGAGGGACAGAATCCAACTAGATCTAGACAGATTACAGAGGTGGGCAGATGGGAATAGAGTGGAATTCAACGCGGACAAATGCAAGGTGCTATATCTAGGAAGAAGGAACCTGCAACATACCTACAGGCTGGGGAACACCCTTCTCAACAATACAGTGGCTGAAAGGGATCTTGGAGTTATCGTTGACTCCAGGACAGACATGAGCCACCAATGTGAGGAAGTGGTCAGTAAGGCTAACCGCACCTTGTCATGCATCTACAGATACATCACAAGCAGGTCCAGGGAGGTGATCCTTCTCCTCTATGCGGTGCTGGTCAGGCTGCTGTAGGAGTAGTGCGTCCAGTTCTGGGCACTGCACTTCAAGAGGGATGTGACTAACCTTGAGAGGGTCCAGAGGAGGGCCACGCATGTGGCCGGGGGGGGCAGCAGGCCAGGCCCTATGAAGATAAACTAAAGGGCCTGAATCTATTCAGCCTCCACAAGAGAAGACTGAGAGGGGATCTCGTGGCTGTCTATAAACTCAATGGTGGGGGGGAGGGAACCAGCAGAAAGTAAGTGAGGCTCTGTTCTCTCAGGCACCACCTGGGATAACAAGGAATAACGGCCACAAATTGATTGAGAGCAGGTTCCGGCTTGATATCAGGAGACATTACTTTATGGTTAGGGCTACCAGGCTCTGGAATGGGCTCCCAAGGGAGGTGGTGCTCTCCCCTACCTTGGGGATCTTCAAGAGGAGGTTGGATAGATATCTGGCTGGGGTATTATGATCCCAGCACTCGTTCCTGCCCAGGGCAGGGGGTTGACTTGATGATCTATTCAGGACCCTTCCGACCCTAGAAACTATGAAACTATATTAACTGTTAAATTCCCGTATCCCTTCTACGTTTCATTGAGTGATGTTGTAACCACGAAGGTATAGGAAATATGTAGGGTAATATGCCATGAAGTTGACAGTGTTCAGTCCTTGATTCTGTGTCCAGACAACTTATGATTTTTTGTTCCTAGGCTCACCTTTTGAAAGTGTTTGATAAACTCATTTGAGCACAAGGATAGTGCGGTCAGAAAGTGAAGGTTTATTTCGTGAAAACTGTTCTTCTACATGTGTTTACGTGTGTCTGTCTTTAAACTTTCACCTGTCATTCTGGTGGGTAGTTTTAATCTGACCCACACAGTGAGGGCATCTGGTACACTGGGGGAGATATACCACATTCTGAGATAAACTGTGTATCCCATACAAACCATAATTTAAACTCTACATAAAACTGCCATCAATCCTGATACAATAAATCTTCCAATTATTATTATTATTTTTAAATGATCAAGTAAATTAGTCAGGAAGTAACACGATATGTTATAAATGCATCTAAATGTAAGTATGCAATAATGCTGCAATTACAATATCTTTCCCCCAATCTCCTGAGAGGTGCACATAGAAAACTATATATATAAAACTAAGTTGTGCCTGGAAGGCTAAACAAATGCTTTGGGACATATTAGATACGATGGTGCATTTGTGCTGTAAAAATCTGAATGATTAGTAACATTGCTTAAGAGGTTTGGTTTGAGTTTTCATATTTGAAAATGGCTAAGTAGTCCTTGGTTCTGCAGCTTACACATACTATTCTTGCTACTTTTTGTTCAACTTCATTGCCATTGTCAGGTCACTCTCCTGTGACATGTTTCTCTACATCTCTGCTCTTGAGAACAATAAAGATGTACTGATTTGAAACTCCTGACTGCACATACAGAAACTGTCAGTAAGTTGGGCACTTGGAGCAAAGAAGTTTATGTAAACCCGTGTCAGTTGTTTATGATGTGCTGTCTAACAAGGATTGGAGATATGTTAATGTCGCTTTTGCTTCCAACTTCTGAAGAGAAGTTCTACAAACCCAGGAATTGGAGTATTCTTGTAAAAGTATCAATGAAACAGATGGAGGAGGGAGGGGCAATGTTCCCTCTAAGGTGTAGTGATCCATGAGTGCCTTGCTTCGGGCCATGAGCGCGCTGCTTCAGTCTGTTCCCGAATTGGTCCCGTCTCTCCCTTTAATATTAAAGAATGCATCCTGCACAGTGTAATATTAGTCTCAGTCTATTTATTATCTTGTTAGATGTTTTTCTTTAAGGGCCCAATTCTGCTTTTAATTTGCATTGTTGTAAATAATAGAAGAAACTAGCTGTAATACCCAAATGCTGCCTTTTAATCATGTCTCTGTGGTCAGGATTAAGGCTTAATTAATACTTAAAACTGGGCAAGCATTTTAGTTCTCTATCTTCAGTTACCAAAGAGCTCACTTTGTTACATGAAATGTGTGTACCTCCCTGTCATGTCTCTTGGACCCACATGCAGGCTGTGCTCTGCCTGCTCCCCACCTCCGTGCCTCGCTGCAGCCTTTGAAAGTGGTACAGTGCCATGGGTGTCCTGCTGCTGGGCAGACATGGCCATCGCTTTCAAAGGCTGCAGAGAGGTGCAGAGGCAGGGCGCAGGCAGAACACGGAAGACCCATGGGGCTGCCAGGTTTTGCCGCAGGAGCTGTGGGGCTTGCAGCGCGGGGATGAAAGCTAAGATTAGGGTAAAGCTGATGGGGCTCAGGGCGAAGCTCGCCCAAAAGGGCTGGGGAGCAGAGCAGTTCCCCGGAGCCAGTGGAGCTCAGCTCTGCCCCAGCCCACCTCTGCCTTGCCTCGGGGAGAAGTGGCTGCCTGCCCCGTGCTGTGGGCCTGGAGGAGGAAGCGGCAGCAATGATGATTACCCACTGATCAGCACCCCAGCCCCTTGTGGGCTGCTCTGGCTGAAGCTGTGCTCTCCCTCCCCACAGGGATACCAGCATGGTGAGGAGTGGAGTGGAGTGGCCCCTGGACAGGCAAGCAGTAAGTGTCCTGCGCTGGCCTTGGTGCGTGGCATTAAAAAGTTACTGTGTGGCAAGATTTTTTACTGTGCGTGGCTGCACATGCACACAGCTTAAGAGGGAACCTTGGGGGGGGAGGGGGATTAATTTATTTTGGACACCATTCATTTCCTTCCCCAGAGTAATACTTCTGCTAGAATTAAATATCCAGTCTAGCAGGGATAAACAAGAGGGCATGGCAGTTTTAATATTAAGTTTTCTAACTTTTGATCAGTTGGCTTTATAACCTAAATAACATTATTTTAATATAGTTTTTGTAAATGTGATTCCCCTTTTCTTTTTAAGAAAAGGGAAAGACCAAATTATAATCTTATGCAACTTTTATTGCATCGCAGTAGTACACCACACTACATGACCATTGCATTTTAGACCAATGTTATAGAACAGAGGTTCCCAACCAGCAGGCCGCAGCTCAGTACTGGGCCACAGTGATTGGTTTCCGGGTTGTGGCATAAGCCCTCCACTTGGCCCCCCGTCTGTCTGCCCAGGCAAGTGGTTTCTGCTGGCAGTGGTGATATGCGGGGTTAAAGCTGGGGGATGGAGCAGTCCCGGGAGGAAAGCAGTCAGTTCTGCCACTCCCATGCCTGTCTGCGACAGAAAAAAGGTTGGGAACCACTGCTATAGAATACCATAGTGGGGCTTTTATTTTATCTATTTTTTTTTTGGTGTTTTGGTTTTTGGGGGCTTTTTAAAGTTATTTTGTTATGTATAATCAATCACTCTGCTATTCTTGCTATCTCTTGAAGGAAGATACAGAATAAGTCACAGTTAGCAGTAGCAAAAGTAATTCACATATGGACAGTCAGCTCTTATATTTCTTCAAGGTTATTGTTTTGTGATTAAAAACCCATCTCCTTTTTGTGATGGGCAAGTTCCCAGACAGTGACCTTTCCAGAAAGATGGACAATTAGCAATGGATTTAACTATACCCTAAACAATTTTTGGAGTCCAAAGTTTAAATATTTTCTGAATTAAAGGAAACAAGTTACATACTATTTCATTTTGTTACGCTTCTTGTATTATAAATATATACACAAAGGCATGTGGTTTTCTCATCTGAAAAGTTAAGATCAAGTGTAATATTAATTTAATAGTATGTACATCTTTATGTATTATCTTATCTTTGTATAAGGATTAATCAAAACTCTCAATGATCTTACCAAGATTATCTAGCAAATTCAAAAACAGCATCTAACAGTCTCATTGGTGTTCTCATTATAATATACCTCATGAGAACACTATGCCTTTTTGCTGTCAAGAAACAGCACAATACCTTTATGATGATTATGTGGTTTTAGCGATTGACTGATTGACATGGATGCCTTTTGTTGATGAATATTCAATTACTGTACCTCGCTGCAAGGAACAGAAAATGACACATTGCAGCACCCAAGAACAGAAAAATGCAAGCAATCAGGCTTCAGTATCACAACAATGAATATCTACAACAGCTTGCAACTGCTTCAAGTACAGAGCATCACTAACAGAGCTACTTCAAGAGTCAATGAAAACATGTGCTTATAGCCCCTGACAAGTTTTTACACTGATTGTTCTTACCTTTCTTTTGATATCAATAAACTGAGAAAACATTAGGGACCAATAGAATGACAATTCGACTATGTAGTAGTAATGAGTATCAGGCGTCAAGGGCTGAAAGAAGAAGATTTAAAACAGTTAGAAAATCCAGTTCATTTTACAAACACCTCAGATCTGCAGAAAAGATGTTTAATCACAGACATCAGTCATGTTGATTGCTGGATGATCATCAGCTATTGGATAAACTTCTGATCTCAGAAAATTATTAGGAGTGTCATTTCCAAACATCCATGGCTCTGTGAAAAAAGTCCCTGTCTCGTATTGCTTACAGTTCTTTATGTCTAAACCTAGGGAATGTTGTAATGCCAACAAGCTATGCCCTAGTCCTTCAGCAACTTAGAAAAAAGATGTGCTGCCCAGTTGTGAACTAACAATCTTAATCTTATAGCACAGTGCAACTTTTAGGGTATGCTTGTGGACCACACATGGTGCTACAGATGGGCCGAGCTCAAAGGGTATAAGCCCTCCCACTGTTTTTGTGTGGCGACAAAGACTTTCCTTTGCTCAGTTAACACAGCATAACTTTTATGTTTTTTACTTCGCTTCTAATGTTAGATATTAAATAAATGCAAGGTTAGACATTCCATAAGAGCACCAAAGTGCACTAACGGGGAGAAGTATAAATTGTAGTGTCCCTCCAAATTTAGAGCTGTAGCACTGCCCTTTGGTGAAGCGATTGGAATGAGACTAAGCACTGCCTGATCCATTGCTTCAGCTTTTGACTTCATTTAGTATCACAGGCTTTTGCCAGTTATATGTGTGTGTTTGCAGGCGTATGTGCATGTGTGACGTTATCAGGGTTTGACTGTATTTATACAAAACAGCTGGGATTTATACTGTGGAATTTACAGAATAAAAAATAACAGTTCACTAAGGTGGTCTATTTATTTCTATGGCACACGAAAATTTGTACCTGATACGGGTATCCAGCCCAGCACTGTCTTGTGTTCCACAGCCAAGGAACCTTAAAAAGAAACAAAGGGATATGTTAGTAGTTGAGAAATGAAATCATCCTGGGCAGTTTAGGTGCAAACGCTTAATATTATGCATGGCCAGATCTTGAGGGCTGTTAAGCACTTGCATCTCCAGTGTCTGACTAGAAATGCTGGGAAGAGATTGCAAGAGCTGGAAGCCTAAGAACTTCTGATCCAATAGCTAATACTGAAACAACTCTCAGATTCAGAGAGATTTTGACTGTCTCATGTAAGATTTTGATGTGCTGTGTTCTGCTAAAAAATATGTTGTAATTCAACATGTTATTTTCTCAGTGGTATACATCAGGGTGGCTTAGATTGTGAACAGGTGTAAACAGCTCTACATAGGCTGTTACCTATTTCATGGAGCAGTAAATCCCAGGCGAAGTGATTACAACCCCCACTTATCCTTTGAAAATCCAGTCTCCTCTATAGAGATCAAAACCCTATTTCACTGGCTTTGGAATTCACCATCCAAAAATAGAGTTTGCCAGTGCAACCACTTAAAGCAGTTTTCTCTGGAGACAAAACTTGCTGTGGTGCATAAAATACCCCCTCCCCCCGAACCTTCCATTCCAAAAAGGCAATCTCAAGTAGCCTGAAAGATGTGGAAGGGAG